GGAGCAGCGTGTTACGGTCGATAGCTTTATATCTAGGCCATTCACTGAAGTGTTACAAGAACCTTTTTTAGGCAATAGCTATTAGGATTCCGACAAGCATGATGTGATAACCTCAAGCTAGCTATAACGTGTCAATCTTTGCTAATTCAAATCCAATGACGCAGTAAATTATCTTCATATATAGGAAAAAGCAATTTTGTTATTCTATTAAATCAATTGTCGCAGTTCTCAGAATGCCCCATTTCATCCTCTGTTATAGCCAAAGTCATGCGATCAAGTTCCACTTCTAGTGAGACACAGAAACGCAAACGTATTTTCACCAAGCCAGGTCATGACTACAGAGTGAAGTAATTCGTGTCAAAGTTTATTAGACATTGTAGATGTATTCCGATTTGATGAACCCTTATATGAGCAGTCTTCAAGTGATATCTGCTTCGGCGCTCTAGGAGGCGCTGTCGTAGCATGTAAACGGGAGTTATATAAATTGACTTCGAGCCGGACTATAGTGTTAATGTCGTTTACGCTGCTCAAAAAGCAGCTCATGACCGCGAACGTCGTCTTGTCACCGTTCGGAGCATAATTGTTCACACAGCCTGCTATAACACATACTGCGTCTAGATGCATGGTTGATCCTTAATTCGGCTTTTCAGGATTACTTCAACTGTGCCTAGTCAAAAAAATCCTGCAGGAAGTTAAAAAGATGTAAAGTGGTAAGTTTCCGTTCTCTCGAAATTCTACCTTTCGTGGTACGCCAAATTCAGCGCGCAAATCAACTCAATTCCACTATGATCTCCAATAATGATATTTGGATTCTGTAGCCGCCTGTTGTAGAACTTTTATTCGGGAATGCCTGTAAATTAGAAGTAGTGCAAAGTGTTGCATAGCACCAAGAGGTTACGTATGAAAACTTATCGTTAACATATAGAATGACTAATACCTTCTTCCACATAAAGATGACAGTATCCTGCAGAGAACTGTTGCTAATTGCAATTGTCTAAGAAGGAAATTCTCTAAGGGAAAACTCTCATGTCTTTTATTATATCACAGCCTAGAGATTAATTAACTTATGTAGTAATTATATAGTAACTATACTATATAGTAACTTATATAGTAACTGCTTATATAGTAGCAGCAACGATTTTCGTATGTAGGTTTGACCTTTAGTATGCTCATTATGACAGTATACTACTCATTATTATTGAAGGTTAGCAAACCTCCCAAACTTGCAGTATTGAATATTGAATAAATAGACGCTTCTGTTAGTTTTTTTAGTCTTTACATCCATGAACGATTGAAAAAAAACCTATTATGGTCATGATTTAAACAAAGCTTATTACAAAGTTTGACCATAATAAATTTTTCTATCGTTTAATATCTTTGACAGCATGGTTGCAACTTACGTTACAAGATGATTTTCTATTATAAAGTTATTATTATATATATTATAATTATAAAGATTATAAAGTAGAGAGTCACTTGAGTGAAGACTGCACTTTGCTGTGATATGACTTATGATGTCACGAAAAATGTATCGAGACCTTGATGCACTAACAGTGGACGTCCTGTTGTGGTCGTTAAAGATGGCCGAACCTTTGATCAGGAGCCGTTGCCACGTCAAGTTGCGGTAGGGACACATGCTATACAGTTTGTGTGAATAAATAAAGCTATTATTACTTTTATCTAATTCTACCTCTATTTAGAGATATATTCTGCTTACCTGAATTTTTTAGAAAGATTTAGACATGTAAATATTATATAACAATGTTTGCATCTCATTCAAACTACTTACGATTGCTTTAATCTACAATTGTTATCTATATATGGGCAACGTACTGAAATAAAGTTTGATAAAATGTAAGTCCCGAAAACGTGTTTTAAGTCATCGATTGATAAACAGAGAGGTAAATATTCCGTTCGATTCCAGCGAGGTCAAGAGAATCATGTTCCATTTTTGACTCCACCGGCAAAGGGATTCTGCAGTTACGACAATACATCCACAAACAAAAAACTTAGTGTTACATATGCGGAGTTTTATGCGGAGTTAGACCATTTCGTAACATCACTGTACATAAGATGTTCAGCGAAAATCGGATGTCGCATTGTCATCGTAAAGGTAATGTTATATTCGACTTCGCAGTTTGGCTTAAATATGCAGAACCTGATATATATCACTGTTGCTGACTGTAATGTCAGGTACATTCTCAGTTTACATATTGTTGACATATTTGCAAATGGAGGCTATCTTTATAATAGCTCTCCCCGTCAAGAAGATGGACAATGCCGAAGACATTTCGATTAGGCCACTATAAGTAAGTGGCTCACACTTACTTATAGTGGCCGGCCGACTTCACTCTACTGACCGTCGTGCCTTGCTTGCACCAAAATACCATTTGCCGTATCTTTTCAGCTACTCTATGAAAATCTTTATCTAAAGATTAAAATATATCCCGCTTAATTTATATATGATAACTATTAACTAAGCTAATTATTAACCTTCCTAAATATAAATATTGTACTACTCAGAGCTGTCTGGATCTATCTGTATTACAGAGTTAATGCAATCCATTGACAAACATACAACAGCTAAACGACTCAAGGAAACACGGTAACGCCAAGTTACTTGCGCATGGCCCTTTATCTTAGCTCTGTCAAATAATCTGTTTCCAATGTGAAGAATTCTAAATCAAATTTCCAAAACTGACCATATTTTCCATCGCTCTGACGTTTTCACCCGTTGAGCGCAACGACAATGTCTATTCGATATTATGATTTAAGCTACGACGAAATTCGAACTCAGGGATGAATTTTATGTTAAGTTTAGCTAACGTTTACCCCATTACAAAATTCTATTAAAAGTATAAAAGCTCTCACACTTGTATCGGGTCCATTGAGAACCATACTAAAAGTGCAGAAAAATGATATCATTATCCATTAGTTTTTCATGTTGTAGATGCGCATGCAAAAAAAACGCTTTTGTTTTAAACCAGAATTAAGCCATACAGTAACTTGTGTTTTTGTGGTTCGCTATATTGCGCTGCCACTTCTAATGGTTCCGCCGACAAGAATGCGGGTCTTCGGCAGCATTGAGTACAATTGCTTTCGATGAAATATCGTTAACTTAACGAAGTGTGACAAATTATAAAGATGCCGTACGTATATCAAAAAGATGTTCGATTATAGTTCGACTGAAACAAATACTCCTGTGGATGGCAAAGTAACTAAGGAAGTCGTACTGGCGTTGCTGTTCACCATATTTACTAGTAGATACGATAGCTGAGCAAAGTTCTTTTTTATATATATAAAGAAAGACTGTCTAAAATATGCAAACGTTAGTAGAGTTGATCAACGCAAAGGTGCTCGCTCCGATTCTAAACACTACGAATCAATCATTTTTTCCGAATAACAGCTGCGGCAACTCGCAGTATCCAGTTTGGTTCGATGTTTCTAAATCTTGGAATGAGTTATTCTATATATTAGTCATTGGTGTACGGAACATCAATAGTTTCGGTGGGGTAGGTACACCAGACGGGGCTGCTGTGTAGTTTTAGACCACTGCTGAAAATGGTGTGCGAATCCGCCGTCTATTTGGCATAAGGTGAAAAAAGTCATGCTAATTCTTTTTGATTGTCTTCTTCTCGCTTATATTCATTTATTTTAATGACAAAGTTCAAATGTATAAATTGAGATGTGTGTTGTATCTGTCTATGTGGGAACGTGTTCGTATTAGATAAATACGAACTCGAATCGTTCTTGGTGTACTCAGTAACCGACCAAACACCACTGCACGATACTGTGACGTGTTTCACAGAATGATATAATAGGAAAGGATTAGTTAATTATTCACTTCACAGTTGAATTGCGGCGGGCTGTTTCCTTGACACATTTTTTCGATGGATAGCTAAACCACGCGATAAAGTTATCGGTGGATGGAGCACAGCTTACAGCCGCGTGTCAATTATACAAACATATAGAGACACTCTCTCGATTAAACATACACATTTTTCTAGAGTAGTGTCTAATTTAACTCTCGGTGTTTCTTTTTTTTTGTCGCCGTACACTCTGCATCTCTGTACTTGTTTGATTGTGTACGGGCCGCTTACAATACCATATTTATGTATTATTCAGACACGACAACAACCAAAGCAAACACGTAGCAGCGACAATTCTAATTGGCCTTACATCTGTTGTGCGTGAATACTTGCTCGCTGTTACGTGAGCGTCTATTATACCACCGGCGTAAAGTTACTCATAGAAATAACTCGATGGAACAATGAAACATATCAAAATCGCAACAAGTAAAACATTTATATTAGGAAGTCTGTATAGCAATCTAGTTGAAAGCTTTACGATGATCGAATTTAACAATTTAGGAATTCCTAATAACAATTACACATTACATGTTTCTAATTAGTTTCTAATTCTTCAGAATTAGCCTTACTATAGGGTACGGAACGTCTTTGGTTATGCTTTAACCTTAGCCAATAGGCCCAAAAACATGTTCTACTGCTGCTAGTATTAGTACTTTTACAAACCACCGCATGTTTCGGTATTGGCTCGCAATCAAATTCAAACATTCGCGCGCTTCATCCTTGTTACCGTTGGTGCTGCTCTCTTGTTCTGTGTGGCTAAAATTGTCGTCGCCGTTCCTACGTACTGTTCGCTCATGGAAACAATTTTTGCTTGACTCGATAAGCTGCCGCCGCCGCCGACTGTCTTTTTTGTCATTTGCACCATACGTCCCAGCTGCGTCGGCTCGCACTAAGCATACTCCGGTTAGCTGCAATGCGATAGAGACACACACCGTTGTAGCTAAGTAGGCAACCCTGTGATCCCGTGTAGGCAACCCCATAGACTGTTGGGTAGATTGGTTTCTGCTGCTGTGGTTGTGGCGGCGGCGGCGGCGGTGGCGCCCTCTTCTTAGCCCATCACGGCCGTCGTCGTTGTCGTGATAGCATGTTTTCATCCGCTTCGGCTGCTATTAGTTCTGTTGCTACTGCGCCGTGAACGAGCGATTTGCGTCGTTGTGCATATCAATAAGGCGACCGTCGGTGTTGCGGTTGTATTCTAGTCAACCAGCTGTCATTTCGGCAGCGGCAGCCATCCTCTTCTCCATCCCAGCCGTAGCCAGAGTAGCAGCCGTTTACCTTACAGCCGCCAGCCTTTGTGCGAATGAGGCTATAAAGTCGTCGCAAATAAGTCGCAGTAACAGGCGCGTCGCTGTTATATGCGTTGGTTAATTCGCGTGTCCGTCTGTATCTGTGCTGTGCTTTGTACTGTGGTTTGATTCTATCTTTAGACTCTGAGGGTGACGGTCATAGTGGCCGTGGTGCTATGAGGTGGTGAAGCACTGGCTTGGTAGAGCGTAGTGTGAAAAACTCGTTCAAATTATCGAATTACGCATTTTATCAAAGCCCAAAGTAATTACGGTAGATCCGGTACAAGCAAAAGGGGGCAATTTCTGACCGGACGACGAAGTTCTGTATATTTTTCGCTTCATATTCAGTCGATAAACAATCAGCCAGAAAAAGAAATAGGTAAACAAGCCAGGTAATCGGTATTAATCATAGATTCACACAATATCTTAGCATAAACTAGAAGTTTCACTGTTGATTACACCTAAAAGAAACTGGTTTGGCTGGCTCTAAAATGGCAGCCAAGCACTCACTAATTTCAAATCGAATGACAAGAGATTATGTGGTAAACCGGTCGCCGCTGTTAACTGCATACAACTGCGTATTACACCGCTATTCGTGACTTTCCCTCAATACGTGTCTTAACCGCTGAGTCTATCAGTCCTTGTCGTGTGTTGTCTAATCTGTATGTTCAAATATCGCTGGCACTGTTGTTGCTAGATCAGATGTGAGACGAGTGCAAGTCGTAGGGATCGGTCTTTGTTTTGTTTGGTTATCTGCCTTAGATTCAGATCCAGTCTTGCAGACAGCACCCGCAAAAGTGAACACATCGAATATAGTGGCTCCCGCAAACTGGAACGAGGTGTATCTAAGCTTTAATTTCTAACGGGAAACCGTTAAATAATCATCTATCTTCGAAAAGGAAGAACTGTGAAGATTGTACATGTCTTTTTGCCAGTGTGCTGTCTGTGATGCTCGTAACAGCGGCGCAATAAGGAGGCGCTTATCATTGTTGTCGGTTGGATTGCGTGATTGCTCGTGTTAAACATACTGCGAGTGTGGTGTGGCTTCGAGCGCATTTTGGGTGTCACTTCCTCCGAACAGAGGCAAAGACCAGAACGTTGTTGGGACTAAAATCAACGCCGTCGACGTCCCCAACGCTAGTTACGCACCGGTAGCGGTGCAGTTTAGCGGGGGGTAGTCGGGATGACAGTGAGTTGGTCGTCAGTATCGGCCACCGGCGACAGAGATCCGCGGTTTCTAACCAGGAGCCGCTGTAGAAAATTCGTCACTGCCAAGAACATCTGCAGAGACTGCAGTTACGGCGTGAACGGCAATAGCAACAGCGGCAGTGGTAGCTGTGACAGTTGCCTCAGTAGAAATTTTGCCGTTGAAGCACCACGAGCTACAACGAAGAAAATGAGACCAGCAATCACTAGTAGACTCTTTCTCACGACGGTATTTCTGGCCCAGCTAATCGCTGTTAGCTCGCAAGATGAACTGGAATCACAGGAACGCGGATTCAATCATGCGGCGTTTTGTGCGGGCTCGATTAAAGGAATAGATGGAAAACTACTTGGAGCGTAAGTAATACATTTGAATATGTAGGCTCATTATTTCATATTGACGTTCCTGACCAATGTGACAGCACAGGTTGCTGTAGGAACAACAGAAACAACAGATTACATTGAACATTGAAGATGACAGAGTCATAAGGAAATAAAGAGAAAACGAAAATTACCAGTATTATTAATACTATTCCTGGTTTTGTTTTATATATATATATAGTTTTGGAGTGATCTGGTATCGATTGTTCACTGTAGAAAATGATCGACGGTCAGTATAGAAGTGATCATCGCTGCCGAAGCCATTATTTAACATTCTATTTCTCCTTTGACAATAATAACTAAACCAATATAAAACAAATTTTATTGACTATTACGGTGTTGTTAATTTTTTTTCACTTGTGCTGTTGCCACGTGACTTTCCGCGGTCGTAAAATAAATAGACACAGATTAGAACGGATGTTGCTATGGAAGAAGTTGGGTAGCTCTTTCTCGTTGGAACGGAGTGAGGCTATGCTGATGGGCTGGTATTCTTCCCAAATCGATTTAATAGCTTTGTCATCATTACGGCATCTACATCTACTTTGCTCATTTAATTTTTAGAACCAATTGTATTTAGTTGTGTGTAATACACATACAAGACAATGTTTTCTAATTAGTAACGTTCTTTAGCCCACCACTAATTAGCAAAACGTTATTTTGTTGCAAGGAGATTTGACTAACCTTGAAACGAATAGGTAAGCAATCACCCAATGATGTTGAAAGGCCAACAGAACTCGACTCGCGTCCATAACGATTATTCAGTTCTTTGTGAAAATGTATTGGTTATTGTGTAGAATACTGTTTAATAGAGGGAAGATAGGTAGGCTTTTTTTTGCCTCGCAAGTAGACCATTTTTCGCGTTGCTAAGACTAGATAATGCAACGCGGTTGATTGTTGCCAGGCTGATGGTAACAAACATACGTCCCATCATATAAGATACTAGATTTCACTGTTACACAAGCTCTATGGCTCGTTTATATGATACCCGGTACATCGGCTACGCAAGACTTACAAAGCAAGCTATGCTTGTCGGAGCAAAACCTTTGTTAGATCCGCTGTCAATTTTAGCTTAAAGCTTAATCCTTCAGCTTTTATCGTGCTTTATCTTCTATCATGCCCTGTTGCTTTATTTGCAGTTCTTTCCATTCTTCACGTTACTAGTTCCTGCCATTACCGAATTTTGCTTTAACTTGATGAAATCTAATGGCGCCGTAGCGACTCGAAAGCACCGTGGGTTTTCACGCGGCAGTATAACCCAAAGCTATTCCAATTCTCTACGGTCAGAAAATTTTTTGAAATTGTATTTGATGCTCCGTCATAAATAAAATAAAACTCGCTGAAGCAACATATATGTTCATCTATAAGAAGTCAACAAAACAACATAGCAACTTAAACAACATGGCGGTACCCTTCGGCTTGACTTACATGATTCTCTACCGAAGATTTTGAGGGGAAAAAGGTGACTTCATGGAAATAGTCGTATAGTGGTATTATTGACAATATTTGCCTTGTTTTTTATATCTGTAATTCGAACTTCCCACGTATAAATAGTTGAATATGAATTTTTTGTTTTGCCTGTTTACCACGATTTTTGTCCATGGGAAAAGTGGGATGATAGACCTAGGCTAGTCACTGGATAACGAGCGGGCTGGATAGGACTAACTGGCTGAGTCTTTTGTCCATATATCCGCGCCAGTGTAAAAACAGTTTATGAGCTGGGAAAGGCCCGATCGTATCAAAAGGAACAGCGTATTCTTTGCCTTGTGACTACAGTTAGAATAGACTTGCGAAGACTGAGCCACTTTAACGAACTTGTTGGAGTCTGTTTATACTTATTTCTAATGCAAATCGAGACGATGCGCTACACTGGGCAGCTACAGCTAAGCCTCCATTAAACGTCTGAAACTCGAAATTGCAGCTGACGCAGAGATGCAGAATAAAAGGAGAGGATGAAGACGGACATATATTGCGCCAGTTGTCCTTGCTATTCTTGCCTTGGATGTAAAGGATATATAATCATCAAAGGACAACTTCGTTGCGCTATCAATACGCGCTTTGTTTCAGGCCAGGCAATATCGTGGCTGATAACAACTAAAGCTGCATATAATAATAATAGTAAAGGGAAAATCATTTCATGGATTGGTTTCACTGACTATCTGCCTTATGATGATATATTAGTAAAATTATCTAGTTATTTAACATATATATAGCTGATGCTCTTGTTTAGACTCGAAATGACGACGCCGTGATATGGCTAACCGCAGCTGGATTGGCTACCAACAAAGCCCTTTGAATAAATGCGAGAAACGTCGACGTGAACTACGACATTCAGTCGGTGTGTTTTTGTCCTTCTTCTATCTCACCAGCTGTCAATAAAAAGTAACTCGTTCGTCACTCTCGAATAGACCGCTAGCTGCATATGGATCGCCAATTCTGGCTATCGATGCAGCAACTGTGCTCAAAAACGGTAAAATAACTGTTGAAATAGCGGCCAAAGAAAAACCAAAACGGGGCGTTTCATCAGGGGTAAATTCCTTTGTAACTTGCCGTTAATGCCATATCGTTCGTGGCACTTCTATCGTCCTGCTGGCCTTGCTTGGCAGATCAAAAAAAATTGCAGAATTGATTTGTGAAGCTCTTAAGAACCAATAAAAAAAATAAAGATCATCTGTATTGTTCAGGCTTTGCTCTAAGCTTAGGAAACGACTATGACTTAAATGCGGCGTTGGCTGAAACCTAATAGCTTTGGGCTGCTAACTGTTGGTCTTTGTCTGTGTAACCCTAAAACAAAAAACGGATAGCAATTTCAAAGATAAATTTGGAAAAAAATTTCCTGCCGATCAGTTATTTCAATGGGGGAAACTGTCTATCACTCCTAGCTGTTATAGTAAGACTAATTTTTTTTTTCAGGCATAAACTATATCCCTTCAAATCCTGTACGAATTCAAATTAACAGTTGAACACGAGTTTCAAAATGAGTACGTCTCCGCAATTTGAGAAAACCACACTGAGAACACCTCTTTACGCGAGCTTATGTCCGTAAGTCTCGCACCTGTTATTATGGCCGTCTATTATTGCGTAGCATCCGCGCTGTGTACAGGTACTGAAGATTGTCAGCCCACCTTATAAGGTGGGCGGTATATTTAGCTACAAGCGACCAATTATCGCGGCTTCAGCATAGGGGTTTACACAAATTATATGAAAGATTTCTGATGAGCAATGTTCGTGAATAGGGAAAATATCAGCCAAAAGCAGAAATCATCGTAGGATGTGGTTCGCCGGCAGAATAGGATTCTCCGAGATCACTTAGTCATGTCCGGCCAGGCCAAGTCGTCTTTGGAAATCTAAAGGCCGCATGCGTCACTGTTCAAAGAAATGGGCAGACGTTGAAGCAGGGAGGCACCGTTCAAGTTAAGTCGCCTTTCCTATATAGCAATGCCCAAAGGTCCTTTTAGAATATGAAAAAAAGATCTACTACCAAATGAATAATCAAATATTTCGTTAAATATGTGCGCCTCATGTAAGATCACCTTAAATGCCTTGTGGCTTACCTTCAAGAAGCTGCTACCAAACATTCAAGAGAACATCACACAACTTTGTTAGGTCCGTTTACGTGTAAGACTAAAGATAGAATAATACTGTAATAAGTGCTGAACTTGAACACACGAGCTTATCAGTAACAAGCATACGCTGCAATTTTAAACGCCATACGCGATGCCTGTCTATTTATAACAAAGTGTTTTATATCGTTCAACACTGCATTTAGTTTTAATAAATACATTCCTTTGAGTAAGCAGTACAATTTAGTAGGTAAGTAGGTGACGTGCTTAAGAAGCTTCGGCATGAATTGGCGCAAGACACACATAGCAGCTAGACTCCACGAGGCAAAGAGGACGACAAGGCTGCCACCTCATATTTTCCATTAATTCATATGTACGTTGCAGAGATGAATAGCTTAAATTGGTATAAAAAGCTTCGACTAACGCGTTGTGTTCAAGAACGATTGCATCGTTAGAAGAGCACATTGTGACATGTCTTTTATTGTTACACAATGGCTACTACATGGTAGTTTCGACTGACATACTATTTCGTGTTATAGTTTGGCGTTCTAGAAAAAACCTAAGACTTTTGCTAGCGAAATCAACTTTCAGCAAATATAGCCTATTGCACACGCTGTATCTGTACGATTCGATATGATCGGAAATAGTCTGCTCTCGCCTGACCCGAATTTAAGCGAACTCTCCACATCACTATATATCATCAGTCTCTGCTTGAACGGACTTGTCTAGGAGAGAGCCCTTAACCCTATGGAAAAGCGTGCTGAGCCTTAAGGCCATCTTACAATTTGTCGTCCGTTTACGGGGCTACTGTAAAAATCGGGCAACAATAATACTTATATTTTTTCAGTAATAGTAAGTGGATGAAAGTTCTTGTACGATTGGTTCTCTCAAATAAATACGAGCGTAATTCATATTTTACTTATGCACAAGGTGTGCTAGCCAAAAAAAGCGTCGTTATTGTTGTTATTCTGTGACTATCACATAGCTTCAGAGGCTATATTAGTTGGGGCTCCGCCACTCGTACCATGAACGCTATGAGAATGACACATGAAGTATGGAGATTTTGTCGCCTTTATGTGTTGATTAGTCAACGAGTAGAGCAGCACCTAATTCGGGCTTCTGGTTATTGTCGATGACGAATGCGAGGTTACCTTGGATATTGATTGGTGGACTGTTTTCGATGAGTTTACAATCATTCAAAGCTTGACGTACCGCGTACTCAGTCTAGTTCCTGTACTGCAGGCGAATGAAACTGTATTGATTGAACGAAAAACCAATTGTTTTTTTTTAATAGACCTTATCGCCGCTGTGTGTTTCACCGAAGCGACTAGCTGATTGATTCTCCTCCTTTTCTCTGGAGAACTTGTTTGCTTTTATTTCATCTTTAGTTGATTATGACATAGTATGACATAATTTAAATAGATCACAATAAAGTCACGTTTGATAGATTACTCACAGTGAAGGGGTAATTATTCGCAACGTGACACGGTAACGTCCTTGTTGAATATCGCTTTATTGCTAATTGATTTGTTTAGAAAGTTTGTGAAATTACAAGGGTTAGAACCTATGAAAAGGCAAAAAGACTTACGAAAGCTTCGCAGAGCACTAAAAATGATTGAACTCTTACTACGCGAGGTTGGAGTTGGGTAGCATTTGATTAGAGACAGTCGATATAAAATGTAAATAAAAAAAAAGTGTTGACATGCTGGTAACAATCAGACTTTAGCTTTTTTGTTGTGTCATTTAAAAAAACTTGTAACCACGTTCACCAGATAAAACTATAATCCAACACAGTTATGTTCTAAGTTTGTTCAGTATTAATGCTGTACTGTTGCTGAAAAGATAATAAAAGATAACTTTGGGTTTATGTACGTAAGCACGGGCTGGAAACAAACGGATTATAACACTGCGTCTTGGTGGTAATTTATGTATAAAACAAAAACGCTATATCGTATTTAAAATCTACAATCTATCGTGCTGTTGTTTACGTGATTTCAGTTATTCGTGGGTCATACCAAAGCCGACGAGTTCAGCTGAAGTTAGCCTATTTTACCTTTCACTATGTGAGCCACTCAATTTCACCAAAAATAGTGGCGACAGTTTCCAGTTGCAGCCAGTTGAGTGCAATGGGGCATTTGTATGCCATGTCACGCGATTCGCAGCTAATAAAAGCTACACAGCCGAGGTTTTGGTAAAGGCTACGGAGGGGAATCAGTCCTTTGAGGCGAAAAGGAACTATGTTTTTCTGACGGGCGGGCCCTGCAAGCACCAAGCTCGCAAAAACATACAAGTGGTCATCTCGTTCCAATGCGGCTTTCATCTGGTAAGTTACAAATGCAATGCATGATTATTAACGAACAGATAACAAAGGCATAGTATGAAAAAATCTCTTGAACGTCCTTTCTTTTTATTATGGTAGGCTTTAGACTCCTAAAAAATCTAGTAAATGAATATCAGGATATTAGAAAGTAAAATAAATGGCTAATCGATGGCTTGTTGAAGTCCAAACCATTAGCACGGAATACTCATATTGTAGTGCTAAACGAATGCCGCAGAATTAATAAGTTATGAAATTCTAAGTCGACTCTTTGCGACACTGGTTGACTAATGAAATGCCACTTCAGCATGAGTTTGAACTCAACGCCTAATCTCAATTGTATGTACTGGAATATCTTGATGATTTATACCACGTATTTGTTTTTGGTTTTATTGTGGCGAATGAATCGTTACAGTTAATCTTCGCTTGTGACTCTCGATTTAGCCACAACTTATGCTAGGCACCCAGTGGTATTTACGCTATCTTTAAACACCTCAACTAAGTATTTAGAGACTTTCAGCCTTCTAAGGGGAGCATTCTCCTAGCAGAGACAAGCTCAATATCATTGATGATAATGCAACCATTAGCTAGTCTTAGAAGAATATCCATAACCATAAGTTGGCCTTCTTCAGCTGTTTTCGGAAACCGGAAAAAATGTAAAAAGGATCTTGGCCAGCAAATGAAACGAAGTCACTTAATAAGGACGACCTAAAGTTACCAGATAAAATGAATCATTCACCCCGCTTTTCTGCTATTGCACTTATCTCGACAGATTCGATGTCGGCCTGGTTTAATATCTACCAGTCCGTTGCGATGTGGTGCCATCGTAGTAATATGGTGGAGTATCCCGTGGATGAAGTTGAGCAATAGAGAAGTGAGATATATATATCTGATGGCCAAGGAAGTCTAGGGTAAAGGGCGTCAGATTGAAGCAGTCTCACAGACAGAAGTATGAAGTGACTGCCCTTCGTTAGCTCATTTGTTGCGTCCTTAGCGACAACAGTGGCAACAGCAGTAATTACGGTTTATGGCAGTCGTTTAGCTCTTGTAGCAGCACCACCAGTGATGACAAGGCAGAAGTGGGCAACTACTAATAGGACGCCCGGTGATCGATATAAATCTTGGAACTTGCGAACAACGACAATAACAGGAGGAGGATCAGAAGGAAAAGCCTCGCTTGCAATAGCAGCAGGCAGAGATGGAGCAGCGAAATGGCCGAGCGAAGTTATGCAGAAAAGGCAGAAATAACACAACAAAGGAAACTATAATCGGGGGGGGGGGGATGATCGAACAGTAGACAAAAAAAAAGGCGACGAAAACGGAAGCCCGGTACTTAAGAGAATCATCGACGAGAGATTATGGCATAGGGCATATGTCCCGCCGAAAAGAACACGGCCAGCAAGGGATCTTAATAACGTGAACAGCGCGCATAGGGTTCACGAAGGAGGCGGTTTATCCGGCAGCATTCTTGGTTTTGTTGTCGGTGTTCGGTTGTTTTCGCTGTTCGGATTAAGTGTCTTATTGAAGCAAAATTGCCCCATAGGTTTCAGGTGTACATACGTCACGTAAATCAAATATGAGAGATGTGCATTGTGCTACAGGAAACCCTTTAGCACTTTAGGTGACGTTAAGCAGAGACATGGTCCACAGATGGTAGGGATAACTAGTGTAAATTATCTACGTTCAAAGATTTGTTGTATCGCGACGAACACCGTGTCGAAGGGCGTGTGAAAAGAAAACGCATGAGGTAGAAAGAGAGCTAATTTTTTTAGTGAACATCAAGGTAAAATGTTAGCTGATGAATTTTTTGAAATTATCTCGATGTTGCTAGAAATCCAAAAATGTATCGTAAATACTCGAGAGGGAGTTTTTTGCCATTCCCTAGGATGTTTGTAGGCGATTTACTTTCGAGATTGTGTCGGCTATAGGGCTTGTTAACTAGGTTAAAATCTGTTGAAATTTTACATCTTGAAATACGTACTTGAAAATCAACTGACGTGATATTTGAATGTCCTTGCAACTACCTGATCCCGAAAGAGATTAATATCAATAGTATCTTTTTTGGTATAAACCCAATTGTATATATCTTAAACGTACTCACTATTCATGCAAGGCGACTAACCTGTTTCTTGACAGTGGGTAGCATTATTTTAAGATATGCTCGACTTGCTTCCAACAGGTATACTAATGCTAATAATGTAGAGTTGTGCACTATTGTATGACTTTACATTAGTGAAATAAATCGAGGCCCTGCGTGCTATAGTTAGTCATGATAGCGATTTCTGTAGCCATAAAGTTGCAAATCAAGTATGAGTATGATGCTATCTTATATTCTACTTTAATCACCAATCATAAAACACCGACAAACTAGCCTGAGCGGAATGCAACCGTGCTAATGAGATCATTGGTTAGAAATTGCCGTTGCGCTGGAATCATACGCAGCTTGGGATCGCAATTTACTTCAAAAGTTTACTGTGTAGGCTGCGGAGCTAGTTTACTTTGTGGGCGAACAATCACACTATCAGCTGTATTAGAGTAATCCGCTAGGTCTTATTTCAGACTCCAGTAAGATGTATGCAAAGTGATAACTGTTTTTGTCTTGTCTGGAGCGTATAAACGAATTAATTCCGTAATGCTTTACGTATAGCCGTATGTACCATTTGTTCCAGGGATCGCCCCATTACATGCTGGATAACTCCTGCAATATGATTCTATCGTGGCGAACATCCGCGGCCTGTTTTGAAGGTGCGAACAGCGGTGCACCTCCTAGTACTGGAAGCAGGACACCGTTACCTGCGGCTGCGTCTCCATCTTCAGGAGGACTTCCGCCAATCATTAAGCCTAACGTTCAGGTGCCTTGTTATGTCATCGATGAGTTTACTGGTCACAAATATGATCTGAGTCACCTCATTCGTCTGCGGGGCACACATAAAGTTGAAGCATCCAACGTGGATCTTTACATCAACATCTGCCAGGATATCACGGACAGCTTGATCGGTAAGCTTATTTTCATTTCTTCTGTATATTATTGTTGATAGATATACATAATTCGTGTCAACGGGCAAGCAGAAGAGTAGTTGATATAATAGGCTATTCATAGAGCAGACCTAATCATATATAATTTTATATAATTATTTAGTATAGAGTTAAACTGTCTTATATGGTTTATTGTAAACTCGTATCTCGAAAAACGTGTTTACTAAAGAAAGCGTCGAAGAGGTATTAGACTGCAAATACCACCTGCTTTACTGCAAGCGCGTAAAATAAAAACTGATTTTATTTCAAAGATCACTACAAATGCACACCTGTTATTGTTGTGACGAATTGGAGTAGCAAGCAAGATTTGGCATCTATTTATTGATTCCAATATGATTATTTAGGTTGTACTACACCTGGTACGGCAGCCTGCCTGAACCTGCGTAAATCTTCATGGAAAACCGTAGGATTAATCAACTCGTCTACCAGAGTACAACTCATCAAAGAAACGGGCGACCTCACCATAACATACAAACCATCGAAGAATTCGAAGCCATTCGAAAACTGTGTGAATCATCCTTCCACGGTGATCCACCTCCGATGTCCAGAAAAACGCGGCAGGGTTAGTATTAGGTAAAGTCACAAGCGACTAGTAGATCGATTATTGTACAAATAACGTTAAGCATTAGGAACGACCTGTACCGATGCGTGTTTCTGTCGTTCGTAGTATTTATAAAAATTGACAAGTGATCAATACGATTTAACTTCTGCAGAATCGTCCACCACGTCTCCTAGCGAACATCTCCTGTCAGTATATGATCGAATGGGAAACGGACCATGCCTGTCCCGAACACTCGATCGTCGGAGACGTAAATTCGTGCAAAATTGATATTGATGGCAACCAACTTGACCTGGGCAGATTGCGCGGCCCTAAAGGTAACAAAACTCTTTCATAGTATAGTCAACCCATCTCTACCTTATTTGCAACTTGGCTTGTTATAAATTTATGCTACAAATCGGTTGTATTATAAAGACTAGTCGGTCCCTCTTGGAATAGCAAGAGCTTCGTTCCTTATCTAGCTTAAATTGAAAAAAAAATACAAAATTAATGAGCTCATATTGTAGTAAATAGTCCTAAGCCCCTTGTGTGCTTCTATAGGATTCTTATACAATCACTAATTTGACTAGCACCTTATTTGGCTACAGGAATAGACAATGGTCGTGCAATAAAAATGTTGATGTCAACAGAGAACGGTGGACGCTATTGAAAACATTTGTGTTCAAATCTCGTTTATCCCTCCGCGTTACATTACTATCATAAAAAAAATTAGCTTATTGACGCAGCCGACTAGTCATCTAGAAAGTATTGTATCTGCGCTCAAAAGCTTTACTAACGCTAAGAGTAGTCGGTTTTTCTTTGTACTTCGTAGCGCACTTTTGATACGCAACGCAGCGCCGATTGTGACATGAGCGGTTTCTATTACGCAGGTTGGTGATGTGCGTGGATCGGAAAGTTACTGATACTGTTACCGATTGATTTGGTGCTTCAGTGGAGGAATGGAAACCTGATCATCATAGACTGTAGTGAATTGAAAAACTATAAATATTTGTATCTAATAAAGCTAATGTAAATATTACACTTTATAGAAAACGGTATATATCGGAAATGAACACTCGTGTCGATCTAGAGTAATTGAGCATACTTCGCATCGATTCTGAAGCTGACAACTTACCTTCGATTGTGCTGTACCATATCTTAAGCAACAAGACGGTATATATTAGCACTATTGAAAAAAATGACTAGATTTAGCAGACGACTTTTTCAAGTTGCCGCCTATTTCGCTAACGACCGTGGATGTAGTGGTAGAAAAAAGGAAACATATTACACCTCCATGTGTGATATTTTTATCAGCTAATATCGCATTGATGACTGCCGTATTAAAATAGTTCCTCGTGACTTGTACAGCGCATTTCTATTATGATTATTCTCTTTTTTAATCACAGCGATATTCTGATAGGAAGGATCTTTCTTTTAACAACGGCGCAATTACATTTTATATAGCTGAAACCTATTGAGAATAATAGAACTAAACTCCAAACACACCTCGCAAATTTAAGTTATGGCAATTTTTTGCGATTGTTACGGACCATGATCTTCACTTTTCTGAGGAAGTCGGTTATAAGGGTCAGTTACACTTGAAAACCGCTCATTTCGATCTTCGTTTATAGCATGCTATTATCGGCTAATGTTGGAAGGGTAACAACAATGACTTTAATACAGTATCGTGCATGCCCTCGGGGCTTCCTTCTAATTTGATGGTTATAAGCGCCCTGCTTTTCATATATATGTATTATGTAAACTTGGTACATGAAAAAATCCTAAAGGAATCATTCGTAGAAATTATAGATGCTATATAAAGGTTAATTTAATTAAAATAAGCACATTAGGTAGAAATAGTATCGGCAACAATTTTGTTCATGTCATTATGTATAGGACATCGTCACATGCTATAAAATGGTTTTGTCTCAAAGTGATATTTAGAAAAATTAGCCATAGTTTCGATGAAAAATAAACTTGGTCTAAGAAAATAAGCAGCTTATCCAGTTGCACCTTGAAGCAAAGGACGTAGCAATCTAAAGAAAACTAGTCGTCTTGAGAGCTTTGAGGCGCTATTTTACTATGAACGGTTCTTCCGTAAGGCTTCTTCAAAACGAGTTTTTGGCCTAATCAACCCTTTATGTTTGGTTTTGCTTCTGATGATCATACGTAGGTTTGGATCGAGTATCGAATGTGACCATTTTTGGCAAGCAACATGATGTGTTACTCAGCATTTGCAGCTTCGGGTTAAAAAACGGCATCTGCGGGAAAATTTCGAGTACGATGACGACCAACGTTTGTTTCAACGATTCGGATGGAAACGCATATAGTCTTGGATCTAAAACTGACAGCGGTTTGAG